GCATCCTGTTGGAAAGAGTTTGCATTAATTCGGTGCTCTCTACGCGCGTCGAGCGCCAGCTCCGACTGTGACAAAAGTTTCAGTTGGGATACCATCTTCTCTAAAGCCGATCAGCAGATTTCCCAAAGTCAAATCTGCGCAACATGGGAATGAGAACCCCGCGTGTAGAGGCCCGCGAGCACCCCTCCATTTTCACCACAGTGACGTATGGAAACCCCTACTCCTGGGTTCGGGGAAGAGGGGGCCGAGGCAAAAGCGATGGACGGATGGCCGCGCGACGATTCCCCCGATGTGCCGACGCCGCTCCCGCCTCCCGAAGCTTGCCCCGACCGCCGACACATTTGTGTGACCCGGCGGTTCTGACGACGCCCGATCCTACCTGGCACGACTTAGTGAGTGCTGAGCAGCCTGTTGGTCCGGCTAGGTCGAGGCCGTCGAACCATGCCATCCCCGCAGGTTTTCCCCCGTTTTCTCCAGTTCCCCCGCGTTTGCAGGCATGTGCTTCTTTGTTCTGCCCAATGAGGCGCATCGGGGGAGGCTGGAAATGGGGCCCGTCCGAGAAATTGAGCAAACAAGACTTTGGGGAGCCGAGCCGTTGAGGCGGTAATGATGAGCGGAATGTTACATTGTGCAAATTGGTTATAAACATCGAGATACGTCCGAACTTTGAGCTGTTGCTTTGCAGGGTTGCGTTTGCTCATCCTTCTTTGAGAGTTCAAGAGGCAGAAGAAGAAGAAACAGAAGATGGTCTGGAAGGACAAGAAGATCAACAACAATGACGACCGCCAGGCGTTGGAGGCCACCACGCCCACCAACACCAAGACGGTCTCTTGGCTCAAGGATTCTGGGCTGAGGCCGCTCAACTTCGGTCTGTTCTTCCTGCTCTGGGGAGACGTCGCGCACGGTTTCGACGGCAGTCTCATCAACAACTTACAGCAGATCAACCAATGGCAAGATGGTCCGTTACCGAAACTGTACTCATTGCTCGTTCAACACAACTGACAGACTCAACAACAGACTTCAACCACCCTCGCGACAGCCTCCTCGGAGCCCTCAGTGCGTCTTACTGGGTTGGCAACATCATGGGTGTCCTGCTGATCCCGATTCTTTCTGACCGGACGGGTCGACGTATTGCCATCGCGGTGGGATGTATCCTCTGCATCGTTGGTGCCGTGATCTGCGCAGCAACTATGAACGTCGGGGCATTCATCGCGGGCCGTCTTCTCCTTGGCATGGGCGGTGTCATTTGCAGCACAGTTTCAACTATTCTAATGACCGAGCTGGCATACCCGGCGCACCGCGCCACCGCCACGGCACTCAGTTCTACGACCTACTCTGTCGGGGCCATTCTGGCTGCATGGGTTGCCTTTGGCAGCTTCCGCATCCCAGACTCTTGGTGCGTACCAAGGTGTACGACATACCGAGTTATCAGCGGGTACTAACTTAGTTGTAGGGCGTGGCGAGCGCCTACAGTTGTACAGGCCGGCCCAAGCGCGATGGTTTTGATCGGCCTCTTTTTCCTCCCCGAGTAGGTTCGCCAAGGAATTCTGCTCTTGACTCGGTGTGGTTAACCTTTGGACATAGGTCGCCAAGATGGCTCTGCAGCAAAGGCAAAGAGCAGACTGCGTTGGACATCCTAACCAAGTACCACGGCGCTGGCGACCCCAACGATGCTGTTGTCCAGCACGAGTACAACGAGATCAAGGAGACGATTGAAGCCGAAATGACTCAGAACAAGAACCCCTTCCATCTTAAGGCACTATTCGCGACCAAGGGTAACCGCTACCGTTCGTTCATCATTATCTGGTGCGGTATCTGCAAGCAGTGGTCAGGCAACGGTCTGGTCTCGTGAGTCAACCGAGCCGCTGGGATGGACCCATAGCTCACAATGCACAGGTACTACCTCGGCAGCATGCTCAAGAGCGCTGGCATCAGCAAACAGATTGAGACGACCCTCATCACGGCAACCTCCCAGATGTTCAGTTTCGCATGCTCATTCGCTTTTGCCTTCTTGCCTGCGCGAGTCGGTCGCAGGCCGTTGATGTTGATTAGCATGGCCCTCATGTGGGTTGTCTTCGCTGTCATCACTGCCACCACGGGAGCATACGTCGAGACCGGCAACCGCCACGCGAGCTACACTACAGTCGCCTTCATCTACCTCTACAGCGGTGTCCACAACCTGGGGTGGACGGGAGCCCAGATGCTTTACAGTAAGCACGCGAAAGCCAAGGACCAGGCACGCGGGATGAAGAGTTGCTAACGCCGCTTAGTCGTCGAGATTCTGCCTTACCACATCCGCGCCAAGGGCATGGCCATGTTCAGTCTGGTTGCGGGTATTTGCGGGGCCTTCAATACCTATGTCAACCCTGTCGGCATTGCGGCCATGTCGTGGAAGTTTTACTTCTTCTACGTTGGCTGGATTCTTGTGCAGTTTGTGGTCGTGTACCTGTTCTTCCCCGAGGTAAGGATGAGCCCTTCAGCCGTGTGGGAGCCGATGCTAACTCCCCGAAGACCAAGGGACCCAGCTTGGAGCAGATTGCTCTGCTCTTCGATGGAAAGGATGCTCAGCTTGGCAGAATCAATGCCGTGGCAGATGAGATGCTCGATGAGAAGAAGGACGTCGCTGTTGAAACGAGGGAGAGGCAGTAATTTGCATGGTTTGTTGCGCAGTTGAGTGGCGTGGAAGATACCCAGATACCCATTCCACATTTTACCCAACCAGCATAGTTCAAATCGAGTCAATAATGCATGGTGCAATATTGTCCTCACTTCCGTGCCTTGTATGAGTCCCATGGAATTTCAACCATAGCCCCCGTGGGATTTTGCCCCCGTAGAACTCATCCACGGGACAGGCTCTGCGCACAGAGTCATACCCCGCGGAAATGACCACTGTAAAATCTCAATTGGGTTAATTATGGACGTGGGGGGCTTTGTTCTTACACACTACAAGTTGAGATGCCAAGACATTGTAACGGCGCATCTATGACTAGCCGCTCGTAGGCAGTGTCAAGTGCAATAAGCCCCTTTGAACCAAAAAGCATCTTGGCCGGTCATCACAATGCCAAGACGTTGGCCAACTCATATTGAAAACACCACAGCACAGCCTCGAACATAACGACCATGGGATTGATGAACTCAGAATGGCAGCTGGCGGATGTTTCCATCCTGTTGTAAAATATCTGCCAACGGCGTCTTTGTCCGACAACGAACCATCCCGTTCACTCTTTTAGCCTGAAGACGAGACAGCCGGTGGCACGAACTCAGATCTCATAGATCGTCTCTACCGTTTGCCTGGGTCCGAGCCATAGAGTTTCTGCACGTTCCAAGATGGCATCGCCACATAGAGCGAAGATGTCTTTGCCTGTGCGAAGGGGCATCTTGGCTGGCGACCTGTTTCCTATGTTGAAGACATTTCACGATTGGATACGCCCTCTGAATTGTGACTTTACACCAGCTATTAAGGATCAATCAATGTTTCAGGAAGTCGTAGTACGATTTACTATTGGAAGGGGTATCAGATGATTGAACAGATGAGCGCCAAGCCTGTCGGGGTTATTGCGGCCTTTGTGAGTCCGTCGAGACTTAATGACGAGAACGAGACTGAATTTAAGAATGGAGATATTTGAAACCAGAGCAGCAACTTTCTCTCGAAAGAACGGACTCTGTGGCCAATGATCGCCCGCTTCCTCCAAACGCCGATAGTTTCGGAGCTTCGCAATTGGCAAACAAACTTCTTGGCCATGTGTGTGTCCCTCGTTCCTGGAAGGGTTCGGTCAGGGTCCCTTGCGCAGGTTCCGCTCCGTGGATTGGCGGGGTGCCATGGTAGTCAGCCAACATGGGTCGCGGAACGAAATCCTGTCCATCGGTTAGAGCGGCCTTGCCCTCGTGGTCGCAACTGGGCAACTTCATTTAGAGTTCTACCATTTCTGGCCAGACGGCCGAAGGAGGTCGCCGAGTCAAGCCTCCCCGACCTGTCATCAGGTTTGAGATTGCGAACGTTGTGTGCGGCTCGGATAGGACCGAGGGCTGAGCGTACAACACCAGGCTGAACGGCAGAGTCGCTTCATTGAAGCTCATGATGAATCTGTAAATGATAGTCCAAGTCGAATGCTCCATTCCTAGTATGTACAGTAAATGCCTATTCAGGGTATATGTCATGGCCAGCTTTCAGAGAAGCTGACAACGCCGTGTGGTCCGTTCCCCAGTCATGAAGCTCTAATCATTCGTAAACCGTCTCCCAAATGCTGCCTGACGTCAAGCTCCCGTGAGCTTGTATGAGTCCGTAATCACCACCGACTTAAATCCCAGAAGACCTTGATGACATGGCCGTAGATGTCGCACTGAATGAACTCGCGTCACTCCCTTTCCTGCCTAACGCCGCAAGCTTTGGTCGTGTGACCTGCGGGGTCTTGTTGACCTCCACAGATACCGTCGTGACCGTTTCGCACTGAATAGCCATTCCCATGACCGAGCCGTCTCCCATACCAAACCCTCTCATGCTGTCTGTACTTGTGTTTGCGTCAACTCCGAGGCCTTTTAGACTGCCTGATTTTGTGCCTTTCAGGGCAATCTTCTCGCTCCATTTATCGCGTCGTCTCTGCCTTGGGCGGTCAACGCCGCCAACCACAATAGTGGTGTTACCGAACTTCGGAGGCTGGGAACACATGAAGGAAAAGGTTTCCAGTCCAGTCTCCTGGGAAGGTGGACCGTCACAGGCGAAGACAATCGACCTTCGCGTCGACGAGTATAGGACCACATCCAGCCAGCCATTGCAGGCGATCATTGCTCCTGCGAAGCAAAAGTAGCCTAAGGATACCTCGTGCCCTGCCATGGAGGCAAGACGCCCTGCGGCTAGCGGGGTAGTACATACGACGTACACCAGGGGATATAGTAAAAAGGTGTGCTGCCGGGCGTAATCCGGAATTCCTGGTAGTCGTCTGAGAATTGTGGTGAGGCACACGATTCGAAAACTTTGCAGCCGTGACATTCGTGTACTGTTGTTACTTGTTGAGGTGCTTCCGCTCCTGCAAGATGATGCTCTTCCAGAATTCGATCCAACACAGGTCGTTCCACTGCAGCTTGATGTTTCTCCGCATGTTGATGAGCCGCAGCAAGCTGGCTCGGGCGCGGGAGAGCCACAACAGGGGACAACCCCACCACTCCTTCGCGCCACCTTTTGTAGATGAAGAAAGATTATAAAGTAAATAATGGTAGTAACAATCAGAGAAATGAAGATCCATAGATAGTGTAAGGTGAGTCGTATGTCCTGATACTTCGAGTTGATCCAGCACTGTGACCATGTTAGCATGTAGTCCCCTGACTCGGTTTCGGTCTTGGTCCAACAACTTACCCATGCCCCTGCTCTAACGTACAAGCCGCCGTCATTCTTGCCGTTCTCCGTGACAATCACGCCGAGGATTCCGGTGCCGTACACGAAACCCCACATCATGACTATGGCGGTGTGAAATGCCCATGTTGGCAGCATCTTTGCTCTGACGATTGATATGTATGTGTGCATGGCGATAGCCGTGATGAAGACGGAGGAGGCGAGGTCGCCTGTCGAGATAAACCATCCTTGCGTCCAGCAAGTTTTCGTTCCCACCTCAATCGCATTTCTTGTAAGCCACTCCACGTTCAACAAGAAAGCCAATGCCTGCTGTATGTCGGCCAGTAGAAGGTTGAAGATTAGAACCAAAAACTGGTTTGGAGGCTCGTTGATCGCTCGTTGTATCCATGTCTCTTTCGTCGGCTTCTCCGATAACTCTTGCTGGGATGCTGACCACTCGTTCGGAATTATAAACGCAGCCTCCGTCGGCGGTGGCGATTCGACCTTTGCTATAGGATCCTTCTTTTCTTCCCTCGGTGGCCCGTTGTGCCATGTTATCAGCTTGTACGTCAGGAACGTTAATAAGCCGAGACTGGTGAAGAAGGAGAAGAACCCCATCGCCGCCACGGCGGCGAGGCCATGACGAAGGACTGGAGGCAATGGGCGAATCGAGTAAGGCGAGTTATCCGAGTCGTAATGGTCTATCGACTCGTTCATCTCCGCAATGTTGAATTGGTAGGCGGCGTTGCGCAGCTGCGTGACGATGTCATCCGGCAATCGTGGGCGGGCTGCCGGTGGGGTTATATGACGAAGTGCTCAGCTCCGGGGGTAAGGCGGACTTGTGGGCGATATAAGAGGAGATCAGAGTCCGAGATATACCCCAGCTCAAGTTGACAATGGATGCGGGAGCTAACGGCACATCCTCTATTCTCCGGTGCCAAGATCCCTCATCCCAGTCGGACGACGAGATACGGTCGAGTCAAGGGCAGCAGAATCGATTCAGCGACTCCTGTGGGGGGATATGAACGTTTCCTTCCTCTTCGGAGGACCATCGGCAAACATCCCACGCCGCCGAGTTGCGCTTCACACGCAGCGCACTGGTAAACAGCTGATCTTTCATAATTCTTGATGATTAGAGTTCGGCTTCTAGTGGTGTACCACCTCAGCCTATGGGAAGATGTCTGAGTAGGCAGAGAAATGTGCATGTTCCATCCCCGTTCCAAAGCGTTCCAGGCTAAAGTATGTGTTGACGGGACGGGCTCTCATCAGCTCGGTGACCCGCGGACCGGACTGACTAACTCACTCTGCTAAGAGCTGCGAGGGCTTGTTGGAGCAGGGTCAATCCTGCAGACTTGTGCAAGGGGCGGCACCATTCAAAGTATTTCATTGGTTCACTCGTACAGGTTGAACTCTGTGCAGCTTCAAAATGTCCGAGCACGACGTGATGCCACGAGTTGGAGAAACGGCCGTGCCCTTCCCTTCCGCCAGTCGCGGTCGATTCCCGTACAACTTTACGAACTGTTGGACTCTGCCTGGCCCTACCAGCGATCCTAGCATACGCGGTTCCAGCATTTTGACTGCTTGATGGTTTTCTCTGCAACGGTCTCATGATGCACAGCAACGCGAGACCGTAACCGAGGCAGCGGGCGGTTAGTAACCTAGCCGCTCGACCTTGATGAGAAATCATTATGGGCCTTCAACTTCCCCGGTTCTATTTCCCCATGGTGATTGCGGATGACAGTCGTAGCTGTTCGGATAATTTCCTCTGCCTAGTGAGGGTCCGACATTGATCAGTCTGGGGAAATTCCCCACGTGATTAAACGATCGACCGATCACATTAGACTCTCCGACAGAAACATCGTGAAATCTTGGCCAAATCCACAATTGCGCCCGTTAAACATGTAATATGCTGACGGTGGCAATTGTGTACGGTCTAGGCGTCCTCCCACGTGGACCACATTCTAGAAGGGAGGATCTCGCCCGAAATTTTAGTTTCCCCTGAAATACGATAGATCTCAGGCTACGATGGAGGCTAACGGGAATAAGGTGCGAAACCACCCTGCGTCGTCTCCTAAAAGTCTGGCCGGCACTGCCTTTGGTTTCGTTTCGACTCACGGTGCCCTGAAATCTTCCACTCAACACTTCTGCAACCCTCATGACAGGAGATCTATCTTGTATGCAAGATGCGAAGTTTGCTATTATTACACAGCCTCCAACGTATTAACGGCGTGCCCGTGGTCATTCGGATGGCTTGTCTACCGGCCAGGCTGACTGTTCCTACATGAACGTTATCCGGTACCATTCCCGCTATTACTGCGTAGCATAGTACTACACACATCATGTGCCTGCATGTGTCCCTTCCATCAGCCATTCAAGAAGCACGCGATAGAACCCAATCTGGACATAAGCTTTTAGGCTCGTCCGATTACTAGAGATTTCGCACGAAGGGAACAGTATTCTTCCAATTCCCATGACTCTTTTGAGGGAATTCGAAGCGCCTCTGTAGAGAATTACTGATTAGAAGGCATTAGTAGCTGCGGGTTTGTCGTGCAATGAGCCCATGTTGAGTTGTTGCCCGTGGCATTCAACCGGGATAGTCCATAGAACAGTCGGGTTTTCCGCGGTTGCAGCTTCAGAGTTTCTCGTCTTTCGAACTGGTTCCAGGTACTTTGCCGGGCCTGTCATCCTAGCTTCGGTGGCCCCGTGCTTTGAGTTCTGCTCAACATCGACTAAACCATCGGATACCGCCGTTAGTCTATGTCTTCAACGGCTTAAAGAATGTAGGCTGTGCTATCAGCAAATCGCGACTTCATCTCGGAAGTCGAAGAGGCGAATCCTTCGCAGTATCGTCGGATCGGATGCTAACAGGTGTGGATCGCCGTTGTCAGTTGCATCGGTTGGAGGTGGCAAAAATGCGTGAAGTTGTAGTTCGGATGTATTGAGCTACGGCAAACTCCTGGGGGACGCGGCAACGCCGAAAGCGGTTCGCGAACATATGACGGTCTTGGAATGGCTCACTCATGTTTAGTCTGACTAGCTTGTGCCATGTAGTCTTAGCAACAGATGATTCTCGCCCATAGTTTGAATCTCGTAGTAGGCACCACGAAGATTCCGGCTCCCACCTGTGACTAAGGTATTCATACTAATGATCAATCACTAGTCAGATCGGTGTTCTCTCCGATAAATATGGTCCCAAGTAACGCTACAGAAGAGCGTAACTGCCGAGGACTTCACATCAACTATTCAACATGCGGAGGTGCTACCCGTGTCAGTCCTCTGCAGGTTCATGCGATGCACGAAACCTTCTTGGTCTACAGGACAAATACCGTGGATAGTACCAAACGAGCGGACCGCGGGGACACATCCGAAGGACGCGACGGATGAGTTCTACGGGCTGGCCGGGTCTCAGTATCCGACATTGACAGTTGTTGCTGCCCGCGTTGTCGTAACATAGATGCGAGCGGGCGCTAGATGTAGTTGGTGAGACACGACAACATTCAAAGACCGAACGTCCAGAATTCAGCCGTTTGGAGCTACGCTGAAACATCTACAGCTCTTATCGTCCGGCGCTTGGCGGAGACACACGATCTCAACAGGGCGCCATGACTCGGCTTGACAGGAACAGATACATTGTATGGGCGTCTTTGGGGACGAAATATCTCCTACTGTGACAGGCCTAGTTAGTAAACTCTGATACGTGGCAGGAATTATGCGAATTCAACATGCCACGTAGACAAGCGAGATTCGAAGGGGGAGTTTGCTTTGCGTACAGTCAGGACAAACATGCGGCTGGCCATTCACTTGATCCCATGTCCACGGCACACGGCGCAGCTTTACCTACGTTTTGCGCGGAAGGATAGCATACATGAATTAGGGGTAAGGGTCATGGCCAAATGTCTGTTTGCGAGCTGAATACGAGAGGTGCTACAACAAACCCGATCTGGACCTGCATCCAAAGGGTGACACAGCATGCGATGGCTTCTACAAGCTGACTCTTACTGGACAGGTTTCAATCGTGCCCGTTTACCGCCAGAGACTGCAAGAACACACCGCTGAGAGATATACTTCGCCTCGGCCATGGCATCTTATTGAAACCCTTCAAAAGGAACGAGGCGAGAACCAAATTCAATGAACGCCAACTTTCTTACATCTATTGTATCCTGGCAGGCCCTCGACATTGGCTTCCACGCTCACTACATTCCAAGAGGACGCCCCCGAGCATGCGCCTACCGATTTTCAACTTGCTCTCTCTCGTGATCTTGGCCTAAACATTTAGCCTCGGAAGATCATGCACAACTCCCCCGACGAGTAGCAACGAGACCTATCCTCGGTTCTCCTACGGGGTGGATGTTGTCACAGACCATGCAACCGCCGCCTACACGATGAATCACATCTCGCTACTGGTCAACGATCTCGAAGTCAGTCTCGACTTCTACACTCGTATTCTTGGCATGCGAGTCATTCACGATATCGAGGCGACTGAATGGTTTGGCATCGTCTATCTCGGCTACAGCCATGGCGGCAGAAACGGAACCGGACGGCAACCGAGTTCGGAACTCTACCGGCAACGAAGCAACATTGAAGGTCTCATCGAATTAGTGTATCGAAGCAATCAAGCTGGCAGGCGAGAACCGGGTGGGACTCTCTCGCATCTGGGCTTTGTTGTCCCTGATGTTGCCGCGACGCAAAAGAGAATGAAGGATAATAATGTGACGATTATACGCAAAGCTGGAGAGTTGCCACAAACCCTTCCAAAACCCCTTGCCCGAGCATTCGGGTTGTTGAACCTGACGAAGGTAGAGAATGACGCAATTCTTAAAGCTATGCCTCGGCATTTGATGGTGGCGGACCCGGACGGCAATATTGTTGAGTTCCAGCCCCAGATTTAGGACCAGTCGGATTGTTCTCATATCCTATAAGAACCTTCACTATACAACAGGCTTGTTGGAAGAATATCTCATAGGGTTAGTATGCCGACGTTGCGGGTGATCTCACGTATACTGGAAGGAAAGAGAGTTGACTATGACAGCGTGCCAAGTGTTCCATCCCACAAGAGGTTTGATAGTTTGTGAGGAACAATATATGCCAACGTGATGTTTTTGAATGATTTCTTCATTGTCGAGAAACTGCGGGGCGTCGTCGCAGCAACTGGTCTCTCACCGGACCCCTCAACACGTCCTGCTGAGGTTTTCCAGGCCAACAATTAACTCTATTGCTTCAAACAACAAGCCGCTCCAGCCGACATGCCACGGGAAAACAACCAGGCGGTGAATCCAGTCACTATCGGAGGTATTTACCCGATCATGGAAGCGTTCTCCATCTATGATTATTCCGCCGCATACGGAACAAGCTCTTGTCTTTGCACTAAGTGTGGCACTTGGTCGGCAGCAGAAGGCGAAGGATGGACCGGCCGTGCTTTAGCGACTGGCTCATGGAGCTTTGCGGGTTAAGATTCGGTCTCGACTGACCAGGCATAGAGGAATTAATGTGATGGCTTGGACACTTTGAGGTTGGTGGGATAACTCCACGGCTGTTTATGGAGGTGATCTCAAGCGGACTGTGCAGGGCGGCCGGAGGGGCCGGCTGCAGGGCGGTGTCCCCCGGAGGCTGTGAGGCCGTCGCAGGAGGACTGCAGACGAGAGGGGTGAAGAGTTTTCAGCTCATAAGGATATTGGTGGTATGGCTCCTAATTCACTAATAGAAGATGCCAAGCAAAGTTAGGCGAGAGGTTGATTCTGTGCTCGGTTGTCATTTATCCGCCAGAATCAGCTGATAAGTCGCTCCTCGACAAGACCCCCTTGCAAATTCCCCCAAATGTGGTCGTTCGCTGCGGGCCGCTGTGCCTCAACTCTCCCGAAACCAGTCTAGAAGCCGTTGTAGAGTTGACTGGCGAAGTGCGTTATTCGTCCGGGGAGACCGGCCTCGCACTCGAAACCTTGGCCGATCCACCCGTATGCAAGTGCACATGCAGGCAGAACCAACAGACAACCAGAGATCATTAGAAAAGTGAGGGGAAGCCCACGTCCAGGTTTACAGCGTTTGATATTTTCTCTCATCTCATAAACCAAAAGAATCTTCAACAGTGACCGTAATGTTGGCGACTGCAAACCTAGCCGCGCCCCCAACTGGCTCGCCGCCGCCAGCCAACACCGCTGGCGTGGAACGCGCTGAAGGACCGATCACGATTGTGAGTTTTCAGTATTTCTATAGAAAGGCCGCGGACGTATCGGCAGCCCAGGCGGCGAACTTGTGCTGATCACAGCTCATGGCAGGACCCCGCCCTTGAGGAAGGACCCGAAACTCAGTCCGAAGCGGAGACCGGAAGGTTAGTCCGACATAAACTGGTGAAGCTGAAGACACTGACCAGCTCCAGCATCTTTTCGTCCTCAACTGCTTCCTTGAGCGAAAGCATCTACGAGTACCGTCGCATCCAAGGTCGAACGTATACCCAGAAGGTCGACTACTGGGGACCAAATGACGAGAGACAGAATGAAGGTCTTGAGATTAAGTAAGAAGGCTTTCTTGTCTTATTGATATTACCCACAAACCCTAACCTTCGACACAGTCATTGGATTATGACCTTGTTCCTCGGGGACAGGCTCTTCCTGTCTCCAATCGGTGACAATCCGCAGGTGAGCGGCCTTCTAATGAATGGTTTGTATAGATCACGGGGCTCACGCTGTTCATAGAGGGTTCTTGACCTTGGTACTGGGACCGGGATTTGGGCTATGTGAGTTTCTGGATGCTTGCGCGCTAAACGTGAAAATGTGTTTAATGAGAGCAGCGATTTCGCCGACGAATTCCCCTCCGCCGAGGTTTTCGGGGTTGACGTTTCGCCCATCCAGCCTAAATGGGTCCCTACCAACTGCAAGTTCCAGATCGACGATATCGAGCAGCCATGGACGTGGCCTGATAACCATTTTCACTTTATTCACATTCGCAACCTTGAAGGTTGCATATCTAACTGGACGGATCTTTATAAACAGGCCTTTGAATGCATGGCACCTGGTGGCTATATTGAGGTCAAAGAACATGATATTGAGCTCCGATCGCAGATCCAGGAGCTGGACGATGAGCATGCCTTTAAGTCCTTTTCCGGAAACCTTCTTGAAGCTTGTGGCCGGCTCGGGAAAGTGGGACTTCAGTGTCGTGATCATGGCATAGCTAAAAGCCTTAAAGCGGCAGGATTTGTTGATATCGTCGAAAGGAAGTGGCCAATTCCTGTTGGGGCCTGGGCCAATGACCTCGTCTTGAAGCAAGTTGGCTCAGGTGCACTGGAATTTCTTGATAAATCCGTCGAGGGGTTTGGAATATTCCTTTTGAAAGAAGCCATGGGCTGGGAAATGGCCGAGATTTTGGCTTTAAGCAGCGAGTTCCGCAAGGCTCTCAAGACCTTCAGGACGCAACCGGTCTTCGACCTGTAGGTGTACTTGTAGAACCACCTGGGCTTTGGGCTAACATCAATCAGACACGTCGTGTACGCGCGTAAGCCGGAAACCCCCATGAAGACGGCGTAGGAGGCTTCTGCTCCTGGAGATTGAGTACCCATACTCTCCATCAGTGACCTGCTCTGTTCAGGTCTTTTCATTCACTTGCTATTTTACGACTTACTCATATTTGTTAAGATTCCATGTCGCCAAGTTACATTAGTTGGTCCAGGCAGATATTTAAGATGAAAACATTTATCCTCTCGTCAAGGTCTTTACACGATAACCCCCCTTCGCTGTCACTTGCACCTGGGTCGACACCCTCGAGACCGCGTGCAGTTCTCGGCAACGAAACGCAGAGATCCGCAGTTACTTCTCTCATGCCGTTGATGTTTCCTCGCTCTACTCGTTGAGAACATGAATCTTATGTTAAAGCCACGTCAAACGAAGTCCGAAGGCCTGGACGGCTAACATCCCACACAAGCCAAATCAGAAGCCGACCGTCGACGCGCCTTCAAAGAACGACCCCGCTTCACCCTGAGAAAACCACTCGACCGTGCGAGCCACACACCTTGTTCACGGCAAGCGCTTAGTCTTCGCCCCTTCCCTCCGCACATTGGCCACTCTCGTCTCGATGCATCGCGCTACTGTCGGGTTGCTTGCACCGAGAGCGTGTCCGAATCGGCGAGCGGGGAAGCCCCCCCCCCCAGCGTTGGGGTCTTTAAGGAGAGGCGCGCGGTTCCTTGCCCTTTCGCACCTTTTCGAGTATGTTCCTTAACACGTTGTCGTATTCCACAGCCCAGGTGAAAAGGGGTTGCGACAGCGTCGTGCCAGGACGCAGGAGGCGGTTCAGCATGGAGGGCCTGAAGAATGAAGGCGAAGACCCACGAAACAGTTGTGTCATGGAGCCTGTTCCCGTCATCGTCCAGAATGTTGAGGTCAGGCATGCCCGCAGAATAGTACACGCTGGTGGGGTCATCAGAAATATGGAGGAAGACAAATGCCTCTTCTGTGCACGCATATCCATACTAGATGCCTTTGCGAGTCGGTGACCTCGAGGCTGACGTCGCAGCGCCGGTATAATCACTCTCAGTAGACATTTTCTCCATAGCTTCAAATACGGCGTCCAACTTGACCCCCCTCTAAATCGACCTGATTTTGATTACGTATGCCTGGCACAACCTCGGGGTTTATATTTTGACGATACTGCACAGTCGCAGATTATTTGATGATGTGCGGCGTCTAACGTTTGTCAAAAGCCGTGTCGTTCCTTCAATTGCTGGGGTTGGAGTAGAAAAGGCAGGCTGGGCTCAGTCGAGTGTCATAACAGTTGATCCGACCTCCACCGCATTTGACCGCCTTGGCATTTGTGATTTTCCTACCCGATTCGACCAAGCGTAACGCAGTTTATGAGACACAGCATCCGTATTAGAAGATGGGTGGTCAGCCTCCCACCTTCTGAGCAGTCCAGCATACACAATCTACTGCCGAATATTTCTTAAAGCCACCCCCTTAGACTGACTCTCCCCTCTATTACGTGCATTCGACGATCGCATTGGATTAACGGAAGAAAGACCTTGCTGAGAATCAGCTGGGGCGAATTTCGTTCCGTGGAAGGTTTACACCAACATCAACTGGCCCATCGTTAGACAGTCCACACCATCGATTTCCGACACTGGATCATTACTTTCTTTTACAAGTAAATGGCCTGATTAACAAATTTTGCGATTTGAGTGGCGCAAGAAAAGTTCATACAGCGAATAGGATATATGTCAGCGTTTCCGCGTGAGACAGACGAGCTGACGGGGGCATTAACAGACTGGCAATGCAGTGTGACAGCCAAGGTTTCAATTCCCCTGTCAACCCATGGTGCAGCAGAGCAGGCTGCGAAGGATGCCTTACCAAAGTTCAAGCCTCCACGGAAGACTGCAGGCCAGCATAAGCAGCATTCATGCAACCAGCCACCTCATCAGTAAGCCTCTCCCGATGTCATAAGGAGTCTCCTCATCCTCAAGGTGACAACCAATCTAAACATTTGCTGTCTATCGTTTTCAATCTCAGTTCCCTTAACCTTCGATTCCAGTATACTGATTCGTTAAAATGATTCGCAACTTTGGAAAAGATAACGTACGGACTAGTTTCGAGGAGCCTTTAATCGTCAAGTCAACTTCACTTGTCGAAGAGGAAGGCAATGAGCTATCTGACTTAGGCACGTCGGAGCATCTTAGAGCCAGCTTTAGGGCTAAACAGCCCATACCATCTACGTCACGGGCGCCAAGCCAGCCTGCCATCATTCCAAGCGAGAGGGGTCAAGACGAATCTCAGACGAAGGCCAAATCTGACAGAACGTCAGACAAGCCATCAATCATACGATTATGGACTTCAGAGGTTCTCAATCTCGCTGGAGCGGCGACTCTCATGATCGGGATACTGTCAATCCTTCTCTACGCCGACGGAAGACCGACGACAGATCTTCTGTGGCTGATGCCGCTAAACATCAATGCTGTTCTCGCAGTTCTTTCTACAGTCTATAGAGCTTTACTAGTGGGCGTCAGTTTCGAAATCATATCCCAGTTCAAGTGGATTTGGTTTTGGTCGAAGCGCTCTCCGGCGCGTGCGCTCCATCACATCAACGCTTTTGACGACGCGAGCCGCGGGACTATGGGTGCCATGAAGCTGATTCCGCTTGTTGCACTGCGAGATCTTGCTTGCTTACCACCCCTGATCATCATAATCTTCTCTTTTGCTATTGGCCCTTTCGTCCAGCAGGGAGTGGGCCTCGCTCGGAGAATAGACATTGTTCCTCCAGACGTAGCTGCATGGATCCCTATATCTCGGAGGGTAGCAGCGCCGGGTGGTGGCGATGTGGACGTCGACAGCTTTGGCAAAAATCACTTCAAAGCCCGCATTCGTGGAATCATCTATTCAGCCCTTGGAAATCCCCAGAGCAACGATGGGAGAATTGGAGCAACATGTGACACTGGGCGATGCATATTTGTCCCCCGATTTCAGCGAGAGCCTAGAGAAGCCACGCACGCGTCGGTTGGTATCTGCGGTGGATGCCATGACCTTAGCGACCTGTTGACAAACCACGGTGATTCTTCATTCAAATTGCCGAATGGGCTTTCGATCAATGGCGCGGACGACCGCAATGTGTTCATTGTCAAAACCGATAACGACACATCATGGGCAAAACGTGGGACCGGACCCCAGATTACACAATACTGGGCCGCGATGACCAATTTCACATTCATATCAAGAACAAGATCAAATCGCACAACAATTAAGGATCCCGGGGCAATTCTTCCCCGAGTCGTTGCAGGAACATGCTCTCTGTGGCCGTGCCTGCGATATTTTGGAGCAGACGTCTTCAATGACACACTCCGAGAGGACACACTTCATCAAACGCCTATGTATCCAGACGCAATCAATCATTCGGAAAGCGAGAATGACGTATTCTTAGGGGGACCGGTCGATGCGCTGCCAGACTCTTGGGATCTTACCGCGGTGCAAGCCCCATGCAGGGTAAATAACTCTCTATATGGGTTTGGAGATATCAAGAACACCACATTGTTTGGTCGGATGAGCCGAATGGCTAGTGACTCAGAGGTCCGTATTCTGTATCCCTCTAGCGCACCAAGATATCCCATCGAAACCGTGCCGAAGTCGTGCGTGTTTCAGATGGCAGCTACTTTCAGGTCCACTATGGCCTCTTTCTTGAATGAGGAAATTTTCAATGGTAATTGTAGCAGAGAAGACTCAAAATCTAAGCCAGCAGTGCTGGACTGTGGCGGAAAATGGTGGTTGGAGTTGCTATGGGAGAGTGGGATGTCAAGCAAAGAAAGTATCGACAAGCGAATGATGGACTTCACAGACTGGATAACAACTGAATTCAGATCCAGTCTTTCGGCGCTTGGAAGCGGAGAACTCGGCAAGTTTCACGGCCGAGGACTTGAGGAGATTACCTACTTCACAGTCCGATGGCGCTGGCTCCTTTTCCCATCAGCTATGTTCTTGGCCGAACTCATTATCCTAGGTTGGGCCATCATCCGCACACAGAAGAACAGGGACCGGGAGATGGTATGGAAGAGCAATCCTTTGCCATTGATATTCTACGCAAACCACTTCATTACCTCGGACGGGCAACTTCTGGGAGACGAAAAGATATCACATATGATGAAAGCCAACGAAGGACGCTTGATGACAACAGATGATATGGAGCAGTCTGCGAAGGAGATTACGGTGAAGCTTCTGAGAGGAGGCATTCGGAGCTCGTCTTTAATGGAGATGGCTCTCTGGATTCCAAAGTTAAGACAAAGGCGCGTGCATGCTGCTCACGAATCCCCTATGGAGATCGAAAGGTCTAGAGAGGTTGAGGGGTAGATACGGAGCCTACTGACAGAAATTTTGTGCTGACAATAGGCATGTAATCTCTGGTCCAAGGGGGTTTTATATGGATTGCATTGCAGCTCCCGTATATAGTTCGATGATGGAGGCTGTTGGCAATAGTCAGACGGAGGCATACATGACCAACACCCTTCCAAGCATCATTAATTGTACCTGAACAAATCAACAATCGAAGTTTGCACTCGCTCGCTCAGCTGTTTTGAGGGTTTTGTGACGGTGGTGAAATTAGGGGGCGTCTAACTAGTCTAGACTGAAAGGTTGTGGCGGCTGCCTAGCACGGTGAAAGCCACATTCGATTCTAATCTCAGGATGCCACCTTCGCGTCTCGTTGTCGACACCGACCTTGTAGAAAAGACAGCCTTTCAGCCCTTCGAGCCGTCTGGTCGCGATTTGTTAGAGTTTTGCATCAGGGTCTGAAGCTCTGTAGGCGGAATTGTCCCTGAAGACTGGACCATCTGGAGCTTGATCCATCGGTTTTGCCTCCAAAGCCACTGTGCAGAAAGAGCTTCGACCATGAGAATGATACCAGCCGCAACTCCGATACCGATAGCAGCCTGTGTGAAGGCCCTCTGGCTGCTGGTGTTGGGAGTGGGCTCTGAGGCCGTGCACACCGACTCTTGTATACCTATCGTGACGGCGAGATCGCTATTGCAGCACGAGATGTCGTCTTTTCCACAACAGAACGTGGAAGAATTCCGATCGCACGGGGTCAGAAACCCCATGTCGGATACATCGGCTCCACCCTATTCTTGAATTAGCTTTAAAATGTTATAGAAGCTTGTTTAAATACCCCCTGGTTGCTGCATGCCTGAACGCAAGTCTTTGATTTCCAAGTTTTGTCGGTGCAGAGACCTGTGCGAAACTGGCCTTCTGAGTTGATGCAAAAACCACTTTTGTCACAGATATCCCGCGATTCAGACGGCCCGTCCAGCATACAGCAGCTAGAGAATACGCCTGCCTGTGTAATTCCAAGTTTGTTACAAGGAATCCATGTCTCATTGTCGCCGACGTCGCCATTCATTCCGTAACACGTGACCTCCTGCCCAAGAACGGCGAGGATAAAAAGTTGAGCTAGTAACAGTCTAAACATCTCCAAGCTTTGCGGGAGTCGTGCGTCCCTATTCAAAGACTGACTGAAGGAAAGCAAGAGAATCAGAGAATCAGAGCAAAGGTGCAGAAGCCAGATGAGCGTGGACCTGAATGGTACTTATCAAAATTACAGCTGAAAGCCCCTTGCTTGTGCGACGTTACCTGCATGTTTGGCATACCCCTCCTCCTTCTCTACTCCACGATGTGTACGGCGTAGAAAGAATTCAGGCTGAGTCTGACACACAGCGCCACCCGCATATGCCGGAGACTCCACATGATGCAGCCACGTCAATTACCAGACAAGTACAATCAGGCTGCGGAAGTAACTTGTAATGCATCATGAGATGATGATCCAGAATATTAATAGACTCAGCTGTATGCCTCTCCGCCATAACGGAGCATCCCCCAACTTTCGGCGGACAGCACCCAGCCCATTCGAGCTATCCGTAGCCTCGTGCTCTAAACTCTAGCCCAATCCGTCATCAGATATAACTATAGGAACGTTGTTTGACGTTGGCGGGCTTGGAGCCTCGAATCCTTGATGTGTAGAACAGACTAGCCATATTACTACATCTTCCTCACGGCGTGAAGGGACTTTTGGCCGTTCTTCGTATATTTGAAGCGAGGTTTGCAGACATTGTGCTTCCATTTCGGGGACCTATCCGTCTCCCATTCTGAGACTTTTGCCAAATTCCACGAACCAGCCTTTTGCGATGAAAGTTTTCATTTGGCACTCCAATAGAACAATCATGCAGAAATGAGGGCCCATGAGCGTGAATAATGCATTTTCTATTTCATGAGAGGCGCTTGAATTCATAAATCCAGTAGACACCATGTCATGTGAAGCTCTACAAACTTTGGTTTTTGGCGATTCCCCGGCCTTCTTTACCGTCTTGCCGGAAGCACGCCATCTCGTCCATCCACACTCGCCCACTCTTCCAGTGCATCAAAGAGCCTTCCCCACTTGCCGCCTGACCGTTTGTTCCTCAGCTCTGGCCACTCAGGAAGGCAACCTCTCATCATCTGTAGCCAACCACCGACGATGAAATCGGCGTACATTGGTGTCTTCCGTCCGTCCATAAAAGGCCCATTTCCGTCATCTCCTGCTGCAACGAAAGACGGCCCAAGCTTCGTGTCCAGTGCTGCCTGGAAATCTTCAAGAAACCTTTTCCTCACATCCGATCCTCGGGGAATTTCAAATTCCTCCCACTTCGTCTTTCCTGGAAAGCGGTCCATCATCGCTTTCTTGTCGGCTTCTTCGGTCCGTGGGTCGAAAGGCATGTAGCATCCAGCAAGTGGAGCTCCGTATTGGGAGAACAGCTCATCGGCGAACTTGTTGAAGGCCCGATGAAGTGCTACCGTTCCACTTCCATCCGCGGGGAAGAGCTGTTGGGATGGGGACGTCGACGGAGAAGAAAGATAGCTCTTTTGTAGGTGTAGGGCGATGTCGAATGTATCGCCAAGTACTATTTCCTTTTTGTCGGCAGCATGAGCTCGAGGATCGCGGATGATGGGAAGCGTGGGGAAGTCACTCCCGTCCATGTGCTTGCGGTTGGCGGGGAGCTGAAGTGAATTGCGTGTCTCAGCGACGGCGTTGAGGGGCACCCAAGTCGTGCGATAAGGGACTTTAGCGAAGTTGAGAGCGTATCGTGTCTTCCATGGATTTGGAGATCCGGGATACGCAGCTGGATCAAGAATGATGTCGTAGAACAAGATGACGGAGTCAATCGATGCACTCATGATGGCGGCAGAAATGCTGGCAGTTTGTTGGATGTTTGGTGCTTAGTGTAGAGGTTAGGCTGCTCAATATTCATGCAACAGGAGACTGTGGTTGAAAATTGTCGAAAGAAAGGATCCATTAAATATTTTGCGTCCTGGAAACCCTGCCCCTTTTGTGTTTGGGTTTGAGTTTTCGTGATCTGCACCTATGCTGACTACTTAGCGGCGATGAATCATCTTAGACACACGCAAGCGGCTCCATTTGATAGGTTCATCCGCGAAGCCACAGAACACTCCGCATGATGGCTGAGACTCGGGGCGGGGAGGACCATGTGAATCTTTTGAGCGATTATTGTTGTTGCGAATCACTAATCTTTACCTTTAACTTCCCAAACGTCTCAATGTCGGGTTCTCAGATGTGTGTCAAACTCGTATCCTAGTGATCATTCTGTGCCATTTGCTGCAAGCTGTTCCTCTATTTTCTCTCTTGAAAGTACACAGAGAAACCAATGAACGAGTATGTGAAGAACTAAATCGCTCTGAAAACTAGCGCGCCTCAGGTCAGTCATTCTTGGAGCCCAGTGTGACATTCCAAAAGCAGTTCCAGCATGGATACCACCAAACATGAAGGATGAGCCGAGGATTGGTGTCCGCACAGTCTTCCGGTTGGAAAAAGTCTTCGAAGATAGAGTTTGGTGGTAGAGTCTCTTTAGTGTCTAAGATATGAGGCTGAGATCTGACGATTGTCTGCATGATAGCGCCATTGGTTCTGTCTGCACACGTCTACTCCAGTGCGGGCGCTGTCGGTGCCTGCCCAAGGGTCGCGCCAGACAGCTTGACAATCCGTAAATAGCCATGCCGATTGACCCAAATGAGAAGTCATTCCGAGGCGGCCTGCAACTTTGAGAACTTAGTGGAGCCAGTCGAGCTGGCGGGCGGCTATTCGTTGGGCTCGGGCGCTTCGAGGTTTTCTAGGGTGTAGACAACCAACAGACTGAGGGAGAGTCTCTATTGGCCAAACCGATGTTGCCAGCCTGGTTAAATCGACTTAGCCGAGCAAGTTCTTGTACCTGTACATTGCTTCCTTCCTTATATTGACTGGCCTGGGAGGGTTATCAAGTATTTGGACATTACTGTAGACGGCTCCAGGCTCATCGCGACATCACCGTTCGAAACGAATCCTCGTCTCCACCCCTAGTATCCAGGCTGCATATGACGAGGGATATGAAACAGGCATCTGCGGATGATCGCGCCAACGCTTCCCACTGCGAGAAGCAGGCATTTCTGTCCATGGCGATGAGACGTTGGCCCCCAACTTCGCTGGCTGTGCAGGCGAGGCCTCCTTTAAAAAGTCCCCCCTAAACTAATTTGAATCTTATCTTCTTTTGCTCATTGTTTGGTGTAATTTTCGCCACTTCCACCACTGTCGCTTTATTCCGCCCTTCATTTCGAGATCAGTCGTACCACAGCAATCTTGTGTAACGCGGCTCGACACTAATGCCTAATGGATCTCACGGAATCATCGCTTCAAAACTTAACGAATCGCAACACATTCAATCAAAGCCAAATTTACGAATCAGTTCATGGGTGGGTGGCTGCAGGCAGAGACAGAGGAAGCATCGACATTCTGTGGTCGAGCTTGTTGACCATCATTCTTTGCGTCTGGGTATCAACGCACCCAAATGCACTGTCACCCAAAGACAAGTGGTACCATGGACTTTTCGACAAGGTCAATCTGGCCATGATAGGACTGTTGGGTCCTGATTTCTTATTTGGATTGGCTGTGGGTCAGCTCTCTAGCGCCCGTAGAAGTGTGAAGGTGCGATAAACCGTCATCCAGAGGACTCATGAGGTGAAGGTCTAACTTTTGACCCAGCAATTTCGGAAAGACAAATATTTATGCAATGGAAAGAAATGGACATATACGCAGGCATTTTTTGTCGATATGGGGGGAATCTTCCTCAAAACTCCCGACTTTCCAGGCGGCTTCCCGATAGACGCCGAACAGTTGCACTATCTTGTTAAGAACAACTTCGTCGAGTTTCCAGACATGGAGTCCATGGACATCGCTGAGCGTAATTCTGTCGATACCCTTTCAAGGTGAGGGCAAGTCGAAACCAGCTGCATTCAAGGCCATTGCTCAACTCACCTCAACTTTGCAGGCTGATCACGCTGTGGCAAGCACTTTGGTTCTTCGTTCAAGAGATGGACCGGATCTCGCAAGGCCTTCCAATTACCGCTTTGGAGTTGACCGCGCTATCATTCACTTTTGCGATGGTGGCTACGTTCATCTGCTGGTACCCAAAGCCTTGCATCCAGTACCCCCGGTACATCGAGACGAAAGTATGCGACGGACACCAATACACTGTCGGTGAGATTCGCAATTATGCACGTGCTCATGTGAGTAGTCTTGTCTCGTCTGAAGATTGATATGCTGACCAGAAGTAGACCCATCCTAGGCTTCCGGCCTCCTGGCATCGTACGCCAATGGACGATATCACACCTCGCGTCTTCCGAATAGACGCATACTGGTGCTTCTACAAGCGACTTGGTGATTGGATGCATCTGCATCCATATGGCCGTCCCATCAAAACGGAACTCTGGGACAGATTTCCATCCGACTTGTGGCGACCGATGGAGCTCATGTACTATCCTTTAGGGGGTTTCTTCATCGTCGGTTTCAGCGCTTCTTTCATGATTGGGTGGAACTTCCACTTCCCGACATCCACCGAACAGTTGATATGGAGGATCGCAGCTCCATACCACATGTTTTTCTCCCTCTACGGCGCCTTTCATTGGCTTTATGAGGACCAGAAATGGCATCGAACCCAAGAACGAATGCACGCTGCCGGTGATATTCATGGCGCAGACCCTGAAGCACAGCTCCTCGCCCAGCATCAAGAAGATCAAGAGAAGGACTCACGTCCTTCGCAACGCATCATCGATCGGTTACGGTCTCTGATTCGGACCCAAGTAAACAATTCTGTTGGTCGAGATCCTTCGATGGCGGTGCCTCTTCTGGTCATCATTCCAAACATTCTGATATCGGCTCTCTACGCTCTTTGCCGGCTTTACTTTTACGTGGAAGACTTCGCGTCGCTCCGGGAGCAGCCGAAGGGCATTTACATGACCGGGAATCGATTTTTTCCATTCATTGGTGACAACTGGTAGCAATGGCATTTAGAAGGAGAGATTAATGGACCGCTTTGTTTT